CCCCCAGCACCACATGCCAGCCAGCCCCGCCCCCTGGTGGGCTGAGCTGGCCACACACACACACACACACACACACACATAAATAAAATTAAAAAGAAAAAGGAGTTAGAAAATAAAAGCAAGAATGTTCTCTGCAGCACTGTCATAGAAAACATCAAGATTTTTGTTGTTGTTTTGTTTTGTTTTTGTATTTTAGGAAGGGTGCACAGGGTCTCACTGTGTAGATCGGACTCATAGTGATCCTCCTGTTTACAGCCTCCCAAGAGCTGGGATTACAGGAGTATGCTACCATGTCCAATGTCAATCGCTGTCTCAGTATCCCCGAGGGCAGGGACGACACAGCAGGCCTGGGGATCGAACTCCTGCTCCTGCGTCTGCCTAAACAGGAGCTTTAATCCGCTGAGCTATTTGGCCAGTCTGAGTTATATTCAAACTCGCTACTAACATTAAATAAGTGGAACCAAGGCCACTGGGCTGAGCTGTAACTCAGCATAAAGTTCACCTTTTTAAAATGTATCATCCGATGTTTTGATGTGCATCCCTTGGGCTTGCAGCCATGGGTACAATGTGACTCTAGAACATTCTCATCACCCCCTGCTGGAAGCTCCACGCCCTGTTCACTCAGCTCTCTGCCAGCTACTAACTACTTCCTGTCTCTAAGCATTGCCTCTCCTGGATATTCCATGAAGGTATCACATTCTAGACTTTGTTCAATAGGAAGGAAAAACTGGAGTGAGCAAAAGGACGAATGAAAGAAGGGGAAAAGATATATTTAAATATATATGCAGAATGGTTTGGATCTTTGCATTGTCAATTTCTGCTGAAAAAAAATTTTTTAAATGTATTTAGCACATTTACTACTGTCTACAGGGTCTCACTACACAGATTGGACTTGTAGTGATTCTTCTGTTTTCAGCCTCCCAAGTGCTGGGATTAGAGAAGCACGCCACCATGCCCAGTCTCAGTCGCCGTCTCCTTGTGCCCCCGGGGGCGGGGCTGGTAGGGCACACCGGGGATCAAACCCCAGCCTCTGCGCTTTAGTCTGCTGAGCTAACTGGCCAGCCCTTGAAAAAAAAATTTTTTTTTTTTTGTATTTTAGGGAAGGGTCTACAGGGTGTTCAGGGTCTCACTACTAGATTGGACTCGTGGTGATCCTCCTGTTTACAGCTTCCCAAGAGCAGGGACACAGGCACGTGCCACCACGCCCAGTCTGAAAAAATTTCTTTTGAAAGGAGCAGCTAATGCTTATTTTATTTTATTTGCTCCTTTTTATGGTTGAGTAGTATTCCATCATATGATTATACCACACTTTTATTGATTTGTTGTATGGACATCTGACTGGTTCGCTCTTTGTGCAGACACCTGTTTTTAACTCAGTGCTGTTGTGATCTTCACTGGAATTACATTAAACCTACAGACCATCGTGGGGTAGGCCGACAGCTCCACTTCTTTGAGTTCTGCAATCCATGGACGCGGCACGTCCATCCAGTTTTTAAAGGTGTCCTTCGATTCCGCTCATGATCATTTTGTAAGTTTTGGCCTTCAGAGCTTGCACACGTCTTGTCAGGTTTACAGCTAAGTGGCTCACTTTCTCTGGGCGACTGTGAGTGCTACTGTTTTAACCACTTAGAGTCCATCCCAAAGCACCACTCGGGATGCTTTGTGCATTACAGAGCATTGCTTGGGCACGTGTCACTTCAGCCAGTCCACTCATGTGTGAAATAAATTTGATAAAACTGTTATCCTCCCTGGGAAGATAGCTCAGCAGCATAAGTGCCCGCCAGGCATGCGCGAGGTCCGGAGCTCAATCCCTGGTATCACACACACACACACACACAGAGTTATCTTCATATTTTCTGTTACCTTACAAAATTTAATGAAAAACATGCATTTTTTTGTCCTCCTATACTTAAATAACTGAACTGGTAAGCGGTTAATTTCGGTTTCCACATATCATTTTTTTTTTAATTTTTATTTATTTATTTGTGTGTGTGTGTGTGTGTGTGTGTGTGGCCAGCTCAGCCCACCAGGGGGCGGGCTGGCTGGCATGTGGTGCTGGGGGATTGAACCGCGGTCCCTGTGCTTTGCTAAGCTTGTTCTAAGAAGGTGTTTTAGACCACTGAGCCATCTCACCAGCCCCCACATATCATTGTTAATACATAGAAATGCAGCGTTTGTAACACTGTGGAGCTCACAGTTCAGGCCGGAGGCCCTTTCACTTAAGCTCTGGGCTTATCGCTTTGCTAATCATAAATCTCAGACTTTCAGGGCCAGGCAGCATGTGCGTGACCCATTTGTCCTTAAAACCAGCCTCCTTCTCATCTCCCGTGTGTTCCACCACTTGGTTAGGCTCTGGAACGAGAAACTGCGTTGGCAAAGCTCCCTTCCTTCTTCCTGCATACAACCCATCTTGTTTCGTCTTCCCTAAGTGCCACACTCGGATTTTCTGGTTACTCATATGTTCCAGTTGCCAGTTCTTAAATTCAGAATTCGCTCTGTCTTCTTCATACCACCTTGCACCGACCTCTAGGCCGCTAGGCCCTAACGTCCTGGACCTGCCTCCACCGCTACCAAGGCCTCGCTCTGCCTCCCTTAAAGCTCTTCCCACCCCTATACGCCAGCCTCATTTTCCTTCAGCGAACTATCTCTTATTGAAAAATAATTTACCTAATGCAGACAGGCTGCAAAAATAGTGGGGGGAGAAGTAGAGAGAGAGACAGCTGTTATAGCTTTAAAAAACTATTATCACTTAAACATGTAACATGAAATAGAAATGGAAAGGTTAGGCTTGGTCTTACCGCCTGGCATAATTGTTTCCATATTTTCATATTAGCAAAGCCTGTTTTAATCACAGTGAACCCACTGCACTTGCTTTTTTTCACTTTAGTCATTTTTTTCTGTGAACTTCATAGTGATATTAATAGCTGAAAATGTCCTACTGTGTGGAAGTAAACATTAAAAAAAAGTTACACATTTCTTTACTGATTTCTGGACAACAGGGTTGTTTCCAAATAATAGTATGCTGTTATAGAAAATGTGGTAGGAAATGTCTTTGTTGTGGATCATTCATATTTCTTAAATATTTCTTGGCATAAATTTTCAGGAGTGAGATTACAGGGCCAAGAGTCTTCTATGACTCTAGTGTGTCATTCTAATGCTTTTTTGAGGGAATTTTGGAGGGGAGCCCATAGACAGCTGGTCCCCGTGCCCCAGGTCCCCATCTGGACTCCTAGCATTCCTGGAAATAGAAGTGTCACTACTAGCCTTCTTTCTGACTAGGCCGTGGGTCCAGGCGGGCCTGTGGTCACACCTGTCACCTTTATCTCTCATCTCCAATGCTCAAGCAGGACACACACGGACCCTCTGCCAGCTGTTGGCCTGGCATGGGGAGCTGCCTGGGCACAGACGTGGTGGTATGGGCGTGCTTCACTAGGTCTCTCTCTGCTCTGGAGAACAGCCCCAAGCAGGACAAGGAGGGAGCAGCACTGTAGGCAAGAGGTGAAGGAGACTCAGGTCACGCATGGGTGGCAGCAGTGGGGCCCTGTGGCTGATCCTGGGATGGATATATGGATATATATCTATCACTCATTTTCCTCAGCCCTTAAAGCAACAAGTCTTTGACATTTTCTTCTCTGTTTAAGTCTCCCCATTGCTTAGTGTCCCTCTATGTCTTGTCCAGGGACCAGAGTCCCCAGAAAGACCATTCTGACCCCAAGCTCAAATCCGTAAGAGGAATCCAGAACACCATGGGTATCTATCTCCTCTTCCAATTCTTCCATTTACCATCAGAGCCATATTAGGGGACAGTATTTAAGAAGAGGTCATAAGAGGACAAAGAGAAGTAGGTGAGGTACCTGGCTGGTGGCAAGAGTCCAACTCTCCCACTCTCAGGAGATCCCAATTGATGCCCTCCTGTCTCATGGTTGGTGGAAAAGAAGGTGAGGTCTACTGGACCAGGGTTAGAAAGGAGGCCCAATGACCACATGGTCTTCCAAGGCAATAAAAGAAGAAGTAAGTTCAAAACGGAATAGTTTTGAAAAGAGCATACCATGGTAGATATAGAGAGAGACGACCTATATGCTCATTACACTGCCTGTTTTTCAGGCCTGAGCTATATGGACCTCACCCTGTCTATGCAATCATTCACCATATATTTGCTGAGTGCCCATAAGGATACAGAGATGAAGAAAGGAAGTCTAGGTCTATGTGGAGGTCATACCACAACTGGGGAGATGGATAGATAACTAATACAGATGTAGGAAGAGAGTAATCAAAGAGGAAAACTAAAGCAGGGTGAAGGCGCTGCAAGAAATAGCACAGAGGCTATCTTAGACTACAAAAGCCTTCTCGTCCAAGGCAACATCTGCGCCAAGAATCCACGGAAGCACATTCCAGATAGAGACCCATTTAGAGCATTCGAGGGACATAAGGCAGGCAGTCTGGCTACAGCGCAGAGAGCAGGGCCAAGAATAGAAGGAGATGAGATCAGGGATATGAGGAGACGCCCAATGGGGTAGGCGACATCAGGACTCTGGAGTTAGTCTAACTGCATTAGGAAGCCAGCTGGTGAGCCACAGGCCGGAAGTAACATGATCAGATTTATGTTTTTAAGTCATCACTCTGTCTGAGAAGAGAACTGGATGACGGCAGGCTCTGGAATTACAGACTAGAGAGAGCGGGGGCTCTGACTTAAAGTGGGAGCCGCACAACCAGCAAGATGAGAGTCTTAAATCAAGAATGTGTTTTGAAGGTAGTGCTAGCAAGACCTGTTAATGTATTAGGCATAGATGGTAAAGTGCTGTCAAGGATGTTGGGGCCTCAGAGCCCAGGGAAACAGAGGGACCTCATACTAAATGGGAAGAATGAAAGAGCAGGTTGGGGTGGCCAAAGGTGGCAGGAAAGGAAGAGCACTGTAACAGACACAAGAGGTGTGAGGTGCCGCTTACAGGTAGAGAGGGTGCTCTTGGACCCAGGGCTTACAGGCAAGACCTAGAGTGGAGACAAACATCCAGAAGGCATTGCTACATGGAGGAACACTTCAGTCTACACACGTTCTCTACCCCCAGTGATTCAGAGTAGAACACAGCTGCTCACACAAGTACATCCTTAAAACCTTTCGGTGCCACAAAGCTCAATGCCACTTTGTGGCACTTTAGTGCCACAGAGCTCAATGGACGCCTACAGGGCACAGAGAAGATGACAGCAACCCCGGCTCACCTTTGGCACCAGCTGATGACTTCGCAATCCAAACATTGCCTTCCCCATCCTCTTTCTTTCTATTGTAAGAAGCCAGAAAGAATTCTCTTTCATCTGTCCTTGAGTTGTTGACCAGTGGTTGGATCCCATTCTGCGCTGGAGCAACTGGTGTCTTGAGATTCGTTGGATAAATCACGTAGGACTCGGGGAACCAGGTGCAGGACTCGGCCAGCTCCGGGCTTGTCTTGATCAACCTGGAGGACGACAGAGAGTGAGTCATGAATCTCCCTTCGTAGTACTACACATTCTGTCTCCATACTCAGAGAGTTGATCGCTCTCCCTGGGAGCTTCTCAAGGAGAGAAAACAGGGCTCAGTCTCCTGCCTGCCCCCTTGTGTGTTCTTGGCCTCTCTGCACAGCTCTGTAGCACAGTTAGGTGCTTACTGCCTAGAACTTCAGCTCCCTAAGGAAACAACTTGACAACCCTCAGCCAACACCTTTTGAACAACTATGTTGCATCTGAGGCAGACTCACGCTAAAAAATGAAGTAGAAAGCAGAGGTAAGTATTTCAGTATCTAGCTGAACATTATCTTGGCTCAATTCTCTGGGGCAGGAAAGGATACTTAGGAATCTGAATTATCCAAAGAATATTTTTAGTTAGCCTGGCTTTGGTGACAGAATCAAGAAGTAATTTTTCTATCGGGATGTGGGCACCAGTGGGCCTAACGAAACAGACCCCCTGTTCCCAAAATAACAAAGCAGCTGGAAGTTAAAGTTAGGCCCCGTGCAAGGCACTGAGCAAACACGAGGGCTTTCAGCCTCAGCTACTCTGCAATCAGACCCCAAAGCTTAAGGCAGCAGAACCTCATTTATAAATGCGGAACAAGGTCACCAAGAAGCAAACTCCCCCAGATCATAAAGGGAGCGGGTACTGACCATGATGCAAGCCGCAGACTCCCAGGTCCCGACTCTGAACTTCCCCTTGGCCCAGGGATAGAGCCGGGAGGGCATCTACCAAAGCTATCCTCTTCCCTGAGAGGCACTCTCTCTCCTACCTAGAACAGAACTGCTCAAGATAGGCCTATAGTAGGACTCAACTATAAGCTGGGCGTGGTGGCGCATGCCTATAATCCCAGCATTCAGGATGCTGAGGCAGAAGGATCACCTCAAGTTCAAGGCCAGCCTAGGGTACACAGTGAGTCCAGGCCAGCCTGAACTAACAGTGAGACTGTCTAAAAAAAAAAAAAAAAAAAAAAAAAAAAAAAAGTTTCAACGACAAAACTCATTCCAACAGCAAACAATATGAAGAATAAGAAAATGTACGTTAAGATTTAAAATAAGGTCATTTCAAAATTAAAGGAAATCGATTTTGAAAGTTCTTTCAACCCAAAGGGGGAAAAAACAAATCGATTTCCACCTCAGTGTTCAACTCTGTACCCGTACTGCCTCGGTGGTCATTAGTTACATGCAGATACAGAGCTTGGAAAGGTGACCAGCGTGACCCGGGAATCAAATTGCAAATTGTACTAATTTTACTTTAAAAATGGAGGCACTGTGAAGTATTTTTCCACTGAGCACAGCTTTACTGCTCTGGAGGATGACAGCTGAGTGCAGGGCAGGCCCGTGCGTCGCTTCTAGTGCCACACACAGACGCATCACTGTTCTGTCCAGGGACAACACGTCAACGCAGACAATACGTGGTCTGTGCGTTGACGAAACATTATCGCGTGCTTCATACAGACAGGATGAGAACCAGCTAAGCAGATCATAACTGGTAACGACGGGAGAATATAATTTTTTCCCCAGTTAAAAAAAGCATGGACACATTTTTAAGTTAAAAACAAAAACAATACTGGCACGTAGTTGAATAGACACAAAAGCTAATACCAATGACCAGGACAGTAGACACACACACACACACACACACACAGAGGACTGGAAGATCTATCACAAACTCACAATGACTGGCAACTGGCTACTGAAGAATAAAACAGAAATGTAGTTTTTTAAATAAAGGAGATATTTTGAGCAAATAAAAAATGAATTTGATAAGCATTGTCCCCTCAACTGTCAAAACAAATGATAAAAGTCAGTGAAATCACAAATATCCAAGCCAAAAATTTTGAAACATTTTTTAAGGTTAAGGATGAAACGGAAATGCTCTTACACTGAGCTACATGCCCAGCCCGTAAACAAATTTTTAACAGAATCTACATTTGCAACTTCAGCCAACTATAAAATGCCTTGGAAATAGCATACACATATACCTACTTTCTTTTAGTTCAATGAGAAGAAAGTTTGAACTAATAATGTTTATTTTTTTCCTTTTCAAAGTTTTATTGATAAAGAACTAATAATGTTTAGACAAGATATCATGTCTGTATCTTGTACTATGAATAACTACTACAAAGACAACAATATGCTATGTATTAATTACTGTAACTGTCCTACTAAAGTGTTTTGAAATTGTCTCATTGCTACTTCTTTCTCAATAAAATTAATATTAAAAAAATGAAAGTCAGAAAAAAAATGCCTTGGATTCTTAACACACACACACACACACACACACACACACACACACACACAAAACCATATTTTTTGCAAGAAACTGGAGCCCATCTTGTTAAGCAAAATAAGCTAGTCTTAGAAAGTTAGCTATCACATTTGCCCTCACATATAAGCAATCTAAAAATAAAATAAAGGAGTGATGACAGGAAACTAGAAGTTAGACTTTTAGAAATGTGAAGGAGTACAGGAAGAGGGCAAAAAAAGGGGGGGGGGAGTGAAAAAAAGCCTAATATGTTATATGCATGGCTCAGTATATCAGTATGAGTCATGTTATTCTGCATTACTAATGCCCATTATAGATGAAACGATGTGGAGAGAAATTATTTTATTTTATTTTATTTTTTGGCGGAACCGGGGATTGAACTCAGGCCCTTTTGCTTGCCAGGCAAGTGCTTATTCTACTGAGCTATCACCCCAGCCCTGAGAAATTATTTAAAAGGAAAGGTCTAAAAAGATATTTTACCCCCTAAAATGAACAATCTTCAGTTTGGCCACAATAGGCCACAGAATAACAAACCCTTTGTATCTAAGAATATCAAAGACTTTTGTGAAATATGAAAAATAATAAATATTTTCCTTAGCTTTAGATGAGTTGTGGTATAAGACATACTACTCAATTTCTTTGAGCATGTGTATATGAAAAAATGTTGTGAAGCTACAGTTTAAAAAGTGTCACACACGATGCAGGTGCTTTTGAGTATTTCTCATCAGTGAAAGAACTGCATCTACCTACAGAAAATGACTTTCTAGGGCTGGGGAGCAGCTCAGTGGCACAGCCCCTGCCGGCAAGTGTGGTGAGCTCATGAGTTTGACTGCCTGTACAAAACAAATAGTTACTTTCTAGCCAGGAGAGATGACACATGCCTGTAATCCCAGCACTTGGGAGGTTGAGCCAGGAGGATCTTTGCAAGTTTGAGACCAGTCTGGGCTACAAAGTGAGCTCAGGGCCAGCCTGAACTGCATAGCCAGAACCTGTCTTAAAAAAAGACCAAATAAAAAAAGTTACTTTTTGCTATGACAGACAGGACTTTAATTATACTGAATTAAAATATGAACTTACTGGGCTTTTAATAGACTTTCCTTTTTTACTTCAGTCTACTGTATGATACATGTTGGAAACATTTGCTTCCTTGCACAGTGTGATACATATTGAAAACATTTATTTTCACAGTTTTCTGAAGCAGACTATAAAAAGCAGCAAGAACATAGTCTTTTAAATGATTCCCTATGCACTTGCAAATGAGACAATGATTCATCAGTTCACGGCCGGTGAAAGGAATGCAAGGCAATGAATTTAGAGATACTGTGCTCCCTGCCAATACTTGGGATGGCGAGATCAAAGTGCTTTATACGGATTTATTGTGTCATTAAATCTAATTCTGATTTCCTTGAAAAGGCTTTCTTCTTCTTTTTTAATGTATTTGGTTATTACAGGGTCTCACTACGCAGCTCGGACTCATAGTAATCCTCCTGTTTTCAGCCTCCCTAGTACTGGGATTACAGGTGTGCAGCCCCATGCCCGGACTCTGGCAGGCTCAGTACGTCCTGGGGGTGGGGCTGGTGTGGCATGTGGTACCAGGGATCAAACCACGCTCCCTGCGCTTGCCTAAGCTTGCCTAAGCAGGTGCCTTAGTCCACTGAGCTATCTCACTGGCCCCAAGAAATACTTTCCAAATCATTATTTTCACTCAAAAGTCTTTATTTATTTATTTATTTATTTTTGCAGAACTGGGGATTGAACTCAGGCCCTTGCACTTGCCAGGGAAGCACTTATTCTACTGAGCTATCTCCCCGGCTCCCTCAAAAGTCATTATTTATTTATTTTTAAAGTCATTATTCAATAATCAAAAATTTAAAAATGGCAGTGGCAGTTACCTTTTTTCACCCATATCCACACTACATAAGAACAAGCTACACTGACAGGTAAGATTTAATTACTTACGATCTCCTCACCCAAGAATGATAATTGTATGTTCTAGCTTGGCAATACAATTTAATAATAATGATTGTATATGTATGTGTATCATGAAAAGATGTAGACAATTTTGATTATGAAAAGATAGCATTGTGAAAATTGACTGCAAAAAAAAGGTAATTAAAAAATGCTGCTGATATTGACAAACTTACCATTTTTCAGTATATTCACTACTACTTTGAAGCCAATACCAATAATGCTGATTTAGCACAAGAGTTGGTAAATTTATTTAACTCAAACAGACAGGGTTCCACAAACGATAGGCTTTTGCTCTGTAAAGTCAAATCAATTATTCTGAAAATAAAATATGTTTTGTCATCATTATATGAATATTAAAAGGAAATGACTTTTCAGCACTCAACTTAGTTACTTTCAAGTATGTTAGAACCACTTAGGTATAGAGATCTATTTTTTCAATCACAAATTTTTGTGAAATCTAAATTCAGGCCAAGGATTTTCAATGAAAACTTATTGCCTAAATTAGAGGTGCTAAGAATATAAAACATACCCCATAGACCCTTATCAAAAGATTAAAAAAAAAGAATATAAAATATACATCAGATTTTGAAGACTCAGAAAAAAAAAAAAAAAAGGAAGTATTTTAGGGTTTTAAATTTTTTTTTTTTTTTTTTTATGGTGCTAGGGATTAAAGCCAGATGCCCACATGAGCTGGCAAGTGCTCTGTCACTGAGCTACACCCCTAGCCCAGTATTTTGGACTTACATGGTTAAACAAAATACATCATTAACCTAACCACACCTGTCTCCTAGCAATTATCTTACCAGGAAGTTTAAAAGGACCTGCACAGCCCGCACGCTAGCTCTGCTGGACAGCGCTCCGACTAGAAGCCCTCACTCCCTGCCTCCCTGCCCAGATCCAAGTGCAGGCCACTCAGGGCCTCCTGGGTTGGAACCACCCTGCATCAGCCCAGCAAATGTAGAGTAAGCTTCACTCACGTCTATAAGTGAGGCTCCTACCCGCCAGGACAAGAAAAGCACTCAGGCTCTGAGGCCGTGGCCTGGGCCTTAATGAACTTAGGAATTCCCTGCAGGGTCAGGAGTAAGGGGCAGGGGGCAGGGGACCCAGCTCAGAACCCCACTGAGATCCCAGAAAGCCCACTGAGTAATGCAAGGTCACACTGCTCATGGGGCCCCCCAGGTACAGACTCACACTGTCCTGGTTCAGCATGAACGCTGTGGTCTCGGGCAGCACAGCTGACTTCTCTGAGCTGGCGCTCTGCACTATAAATTAAGCAGATTACATTTCTTTCCTCCCAGCTCCTGCAAGCCGTACTAAATCAGGGGAGCAGACAGTGGGCAAAAGGACTGTCGCCTCGTAGGATTATTAATGCCGGCCCCTCACAGGACACTTAGAGGATGAAGGAAGCTGAGGGTGAGGGGGACAAGTCTCAGCTTGCATAAGTCATGTCACCATTTACAAGATACCACCAGTGTCGAAGGGCAAGTACTGTCATCATACCTAGCCCCACCTTACAGATGGGACACTGGGATTCAGAGTGGTGCTATCCAAGCTGAGTCCTGGTCATGACTCCAGTCTAATACCCATTCTGCCTCCATATAACTGCTAAATATGCAAATATGTGGAGCGCTATTTTTTACGCCATCCTCTGCTTCCTATTTATACAAGTAAAATGCTACTTTTGTCTTTGGAGAAAAAACCCAGAAAAGATTGGATAGTTTATAAAAATGTTAAATGAGGGCTGGCAAGATAGTTCAGTGGACTAAGTGCCTGCTTAGGCAAGCACAGGAACTGGGGTTCAAGCCCCAGCACTACATGCTACGTGGGCCCTGCCTCTACCCCCAAGAACACTGAGCCAGCCACCAAGACCAGGCATGGTGGAACACGCCTGTAATTCCAGAGCTGAGGAAACTGAAAGCAAGAGGATCACTACGAGTCCGAGCTGCACAGTGAGAGCCTGTGCCAAATACATAAATTAAAAAGAAAAGTGTTAAATGAATAACTTGAATAATCATGTCCCACTTCTACTCCTGATTCCAATGAGATATAAGCCTAACAGCATGGCATAGACTTGAAAAAGCTCACTTGAGGACTTGCTGCTGAATCAGGACAAGCCATCACAGGAATGTGAAAGTCACCAGGACCAACAAGTCTGACAAAGATGGAAACACTCCTATGTGTACCCAACCTAGTAGCTCCGTGGCGCTCACTGGAAAACAGCATTTTGCATTGAGTCAGATTTTTCCAGTGTCTTCCACCTAAGTAATCCACTGAGAGACACATGCTTATTTAGTAGAAAGCGTCCCGGAGACCCACCACCTCCCCAGTTGCAGATGCCATCCCCTATTGAGATGACAGCAATAACAGCAGTGACCATGAGAAGAACCTTCACTTATAGACTGAGAACTGAGACGGGCATTGATTGAAACTGAGGTAATTCTCACGAATTACTACAGGCTCCACCTTTCCCGCAGCCAACCACTGCAGTAGTTATTATCACCATTCTAGAGAGAAGAAAGCGAAGGGCTCACAGTCAAGTATGTACTGTGTAACGGGCCACTGTGTTACACACACCCCATGGTGCCGCCTTAATCTCTGCAACTGCCTTATGAGGAAGTGCGCGCGCTGAGGAGGTTTGTTCTAATGAGATGAAGGGCCAAGGCTAAGCCCCAAGCTGCTGGCCCTGTCTAATCACGGCATAACGCGGCCTCCTTCCACCTTATGATACAGTCCTGGTGATATCTGGCCATAGCCCAAGTGCTCAGAGCCGGTGATGAGGCAGATCGCATTACAGCCCGCGCAGATATCCCTTCCGAGCAGCTGGGGGAGCTGGCTGCCCACGGAGTCTCCACAGCCTTCTCCAAGGACGGGCTCCCACCCAGAAATGCCTGGAAACCTACAGGCTCCACCTTTCCTGCAGCCAAGGCCTAACTATACGTGTGCACAAAAGCCCAGATGCTTCGCTTCCACTCTTCAGCTCCCTGGGTGAGGCTTCGGCTGAGCCACCGTGTCGCTTGGCCCCTGCACTGCCCAGCATCCCCATCCTCCTGAGAGCTCTGTCTGGAGAATCTTCCTCCAAGAAGTCACTTGCGCAAGAAACCCTGAGTCTGGCTCTCCGTGGGAGCCTCACCTAGGAGACAAGCGGCCTTTATCAAGCACAACACACCACCCTCTAAACTGCCATCCAAGCACCCAGGGGGGAAGGAAGCTTCAGGACGCACATGTTGCCTTTTAGAATAGTAAAAGTAGTTCTGCCCTTTAAATAATCTCACCATTTTGCACAAGGGCAAAATCAGAGTGAGCGTTAAAAGTATTTCCATAAAACACTGAACAAGGAGGTCTTAAAGAACACTTACTTCACCAAAGAAGCTTTGCGACACAGCTTGTCAGCCCCCCTGTAGTAATTCACCAGCTGCAGCAGCCCGGGCTCATAACCTACAAGGAGAAAGGAAGCTCAGAAGGGAACCAGGAAGGTGGGAGCGATGATGCCAGCCCCAGTGAGCGGACGAAGAACACAGGTGCAGCGGGCTCTTCTTGCTCTTGCTTCGGGACTGGTTGTCAGCAGCGCCACCACTGTCCTTCCCTGTCCCCTGTGTCCCTGCTTCCTCTCATGGTCCTTCCAGCAGCTCCTCTGCCCCTCACAGAGGATGGCTTATTATCAACAGTGCAGGTATCTAAACATTGTGACTACCTTTTGATGTGTTTTAGACTTTTAGAAAACATTTATTCATTCATTTTTATTGTTGTTCAGTGGATAGGGAATGCTTCCTGTTTTTCCTCTTCTAGAACCTTCTCTTCTCTTGGTTTAGCACATTCACACCTAGAAATCTCCGTGGAGAAGGCTACTTTAATAGTCATGCTTCTGGGGCTGGTACGATGGCTCAGTGGTCTAAAGCACCTACTTAGAACAAGCTAAGCTAAGCAAAGCATAAGGACCGCGGTTCAATCCCCCAGCACCACATGCCAGCCAGCCCCGCCCCCTGGTGGGCTGAGCTGGCCACACACACACACACACACACACTAAATAAATAAATAAATAAATAAACCAAAAAAAAAATAGTCATGCTTCCCATGCCCCCAACTTGCTTTCTGCAGACCCTAAGGAAGGGCGCTGACGTTCTCGACGTTGACCAGCCTCTATGAGCTTTCCCTGAGGCCTTCTTGCAGCGCACTTAAAGCAAAAGGTAAATATCCCTAACCTCACTGACACACAACCATTTTGGTTTGGGGATGCTGTTTTCTCTCCCATAAAACGCAAATGTCCACTGATGGTTGGCTCAATTTCCACTGACTTTTGAGGATGTGGACTCTGTAGGTTTCTGCTTCTCATCCTACTCTTAAGCATCACAGGAATCCAAACATTCTTCTTCTTTCTGGGGGGCAGAGCCTTTTGCCTGTTTTTAATATCAGGGTTCCACCTCAGCTTTTTACAGCCATGCCCTTCCAACAAGGAAGAGGAAAGTGAGTCGAGAACGGAAGTGGACAAAGCAAGGAGGAAAGAACTTCTGCTTAACTATAATCAGTTTTTCCCTCCGTTTGGGGAACAAAATGGGCTTCCTAAGGAAACAGTGAAACATGAGCGAATCTAGGCACCTTCTCTGTATTCTGAGATTTCTGGGGTTTCCAGTGAGCCCTTCCACGGACTCATCATTCTGTATCACCAACTCATTGTGCAACAATGAAAAGTTGCCCCCAGTTCCAATCCAAAGAAAAAAATTCAGAAGTTATGCCTCGTCGTGGTCATGCCTCAAACCACTCCCGCGTGACACAGCCCCCACCCAAAAGCTCCAACTAAACCCACGTGCGCTAGTCAGGTCCAACAGGCCTATTCCCAGTCCCTGCCCTTCCAGCTCGGACCACACCCACTTCTAAAAACCTTTGCTCTCCCAGACGTAGAACACTGTTCCCTTGGTTGTCCTCCCGGGCGCAGATGCCTCTTCTGCAATCTCAGTTCTCCCCTTCTGCCCCGACTCCACGGGAGTTTTGGGAAGGAAAAAGGGCTACCCAGAGAGGCGCTCCCCGCCCCTGATGACTAGGCAGGGAGGCGAGCGTGAGACGATGCTCAGGTCCCTGGGAGGTGAGGTGAACCCATCTGGACAACTTCTGGATTACGTCATCTGAAAAGGCGATGCTGGCCCTCTCTCCTGTCGCTTCCTACAGGGGACAATGTGGCTAGGGTACTGCCAACTCTGCTTCTACCAAGTGAGCGAGCTAGCGGCCTCAAGGAGAGTAGGGCAAAGAGGAGAACGCAGCCTCCTGCAAAACCTTCATTCCACGCACGACAGTGAAAACACGTTCTTCGGTGACGCTCAGGGAAGGCTAAATACAGACACCACCCCAGACTTCCCTGGCCTTGGGTCCTCTCGGAAGCTTTTGAAATCCAAAAAGCTTTTCCAAATCCTTTGCCTATCCACTTGAGCATCCAGCAGCACGATCCTCAGGGTTTCAGCACCTATAACTCCCCCTCCGCTCCCACGCCAGGGGTGAGGGGCGCAATCCTCCGGAGCAAAGCGGCGAGACGCCTCCAGCCCGCAGCCTGCAGCCTGCAGCCTGCAGCCCGCCCGCTCTGCAGAGCCGCGCCCGCCCAGCGTTCCGCCACCACCCGCCCGATCCGGGCCTGAACCCCGCGCGCCGGCGACAGCAGACGCCCCCGCGCCGCAGGGACAGACAGGTCCTCGTGGGGGGCGGCACGGCCACTGCGGCTCGGAAGGTCTGAAAACGAGGGCTCCGGTCTTTCTGGGTCCGTCCGAGATCGGCCAGAGACAGCACGCGGAGGGGAAGACTGATGACCTGAAAAACAAAAGCGCTCGCGCTCCCGGGCCGCGGGAGGGGCGGCCGAGGCCGGCGCGGGAAGCGGGGCGAGGCTCACCCAGTCTCCCGAAAGGCAGCCGGTTCCTCTCCCCCAGCATCAGGTTGAACCTGGGGTTGTCCCGCCTCAGCCTCTTCCAGTGGCCGGTGGCGAGAAGCAGCCGGGACACCTCGGCGTAGACGCTGCTGTTCTCGTCGCGCACCACGAAGGTGTACATGGCGGAGGGCTGCGCGCCCCAGCGCC